AAGCCTTAAAACTAAGCAACTGAGTTTCCGGTTTGTCGTGACCATGGAAATGAGTATAAATGGTACAGAGAGTAATATGCATAGGGCCCCAAAGAGAGATGTATAGCAGAAAAGCTAGAAAAGTTGCATCAAGAACATGTAGGTAGAGAAAATGGCAAACTAAGCAAATCATAAAGAGGTGACAATATCTGAGCTGTAGTGAGTTATGGAGCAAACATTGTGTAAAACAACGTATCTAATTTTGTTCAGAGGAAGCAGTGAGCTGAAGCCTGTCATCACACTGAAGCCTGAATATGAACTGAAGGCAGCATTGAGGAATTTAACACATTGTTAAAATTGAAGGTTGGGCACATAGAAATACAACTATCAAATATTTAGGCTGTGCAGAGTAAGCAAAAGTAATTTTTATTTGAGGTCAGGTTAACATTTAGTATCGTGTAATTGCAAAGTTAGAAGTAACTTTTAATACATGGTGTGCATTATGTACATAAATTGTATGCGACAAAAGGATGGGGGTATGAACATTATGTATCATAACCGTGATTAGTAAATGGAAAAACACAAGATGGAAGGACGCACAGTATTACATTCTTAATTAAAACATCAGGAATCCTTACCATCCCAAAATGCCTTATTAGACCTCTCAATGGATCCATGTAGTGGAGCATACTGCCATATATATTATCGAATAGATAAGCAACAAGATTTCCCAAATTAATTTGGTAACCTGAAAAATAAAAGATGTGTCAGGCAAAGTAACGAGGGCATTGTATAAAAAAAAGTAAAGAGGCTAATTTTACAATAATGAAAGGTAATACATGGCAGATAATGTGTAGGCAGAATGTACATTGGGGGGTTCATGCAACTACAGACACATGATGTTTGACCATAAACCAATCAAGCATGCAACTACAAAGATACTGCACATGTGAACTGCATCTTATTAGCAATAGTTTTGCCAATGCCAGCCCAATGTGATCAAGCTTTTCCAAATCCGTTTATGTTATTAATCACCACCAAAGTTCGGCTAGCAGTATGGTTAACATGCTTTGTAATCTCCTATAACTAAAAAGAACAAAGTGTGGACATTTTTTGGTGCGACATTTATTTTGTTTCATCCGTCTGTCCACGCCTGCGATCTCATGACATCTTAATTACTGATTGATTGTACCATTTTTTCTCGATTGAATATTGTCTGTCATGTGATAGAGGAATCACGGTAAAATAGGAAGTAGAAAATTATTGTGCTATCCATATACACATTGCATGTTTGCATGCACCAGCATACATGACAACGAGCAAAAGTAAAGAGAATTAACACAGAAGGAAAGAGAATTAAGATAAAAGCAACCTCTTTGTATTTCTGAGAACCTTGCCAAATCTGCCTATATTTAATTACTTCCCCTCTTTACATTTGCAAAAGGGACAGTTTTTTCCTCCTTTCATTTGGTTTCACGCTCACGTGTTCCATCGCCCTCGCTTGCTGTTTCTTGCTGAAATTGCCCTTGGGTCTGTTCATCTGTCTTCCATGGCTTAGCCTCCCAATCGCAAGAGAAGGTCCCTACCTCTCTCTGACTGGAGATTCGGCCTGCCAGAGGATCTCCTCGAGTCCATCGTCAGCGTCTCGCGTCAGGCCACAACGTGGCGTCCTTCCGATCCGCTTGTTCCCCATGGCGCGCCGCTGTCCCGTTCGCGACCTTCGAGCCGCTCCTGCTGCTCCCGTTCGACCCCGACTCGGACTGCGTTAGCTTCTACTGCGTCCCGGAGAAGGTCTTGTCCAAGATGCTGCCCGATGTGCGTGGCAAGGTGGCGTGTGGCTCCTCGTGTGGGTGGCTGGCGCTCATGGACGAGGCGGCGTCCGTGACGCTGCTGAATCCAATCGCCGGTGCCCGTGCCCCCCGCGTTGAGCTCCCGTCAGCAGGCGAACACGTCGCGGCGGCGTCCTCATCAGAACGCGTGTCTAGGGTCCATGGCCAGTGGGTCCTCCATCCCACTAACGACTACGGGGACGCGGATGCCGCAGGCAGAGCCATCAAGCTAGAAGACATGAGGGACGTGTTCTTCCGTGAGATCGTGATCTCGGCGCCGCCTGACGCCGCCGGCCGCGAGTGCGTGGCCATGGCCATGCTTGGGTGCTCCACGGAGGTCGCGTTCTGCCGGGTTGGAGTCGACAGCGCATGGACGCTGCTTGACACCAAACTGGAGTTATCCGTGGGGTCCATCGTCCACTGCGAATACAAGTTCTTGGCGATCGCCTGCATTGGAGAAATCTTCGTCTGCAGCAGCAACGCCACCGGCGCTACTCCAACCGCGACGCTGCTGCCATCGCTGTCGCCACCTACGGGGCTCTGCCACTGTAGCTACCTGGAATCAAACGGTGAGCTACACATTGTGGGTGCCATGGTGAGCACATTCCACGAGACACATAGCTTCACCTACAGCAGCGCGATCTACATGTGCAACCTCCACGACCGTACGCCGGAGTGGTCCAGGGTGAGGGACATCGGTGATCAGACACTGTTCGTGTCTAAACATTTCAATGAAAGGTTTAGTGGAACAAGTGTATCCAAGTACAAGGAGAACAGAATCTACATGTCTGAGCCATTGTATTGGGATCCATACGACTTGGTCCATCGACTGGAGATCGTTGATATTGCTACCGGCGCATCCGAAGTGAAGCTCGTCCAGAAAAAGATGCAGGGTTCCGAGGCTCTAGGTTGGATTCGACCCAATCTCTGGAAGCTCTAGAGATTGTGAGCCTGCGACGCCGTGCACTCCGTGACTGTGTTAAATTCATAAACTTTGCTTTTTTGGATTAAATGTCACTTTAACGTTGGTATTTAATTTAACAGTTTTGTTATCTTATCGTGCGATCCGTGTGTTTTTAGTATAAATTGTTAGTTATCCCGTAGAAACGCACGGGCACGCTACCTAGTGAAGGATAAATAGGAAAAACAGAGTGCTGCCTCACTTGGTTAACTTCTTTTCTAGTACCCAAAAGTATAAATTTCACTTAAGGCACTAATTAAATTAGATACGATGCTAAATATATAGAGATCGCTATATGTATAAAGATCATTTTCCAAAATTGGTAAAAGTTGATATGATATTAGGTGCTATGAGAAGGTAACTGAGTCTATATGCTTTGTGAGAGAGCTGAAACACAAACATACCTATTTTTTAACTGGACTCCTGTAGCAATGTTATAATGGATACTAATTAAGTCTCCTGTTTTTTCTATTATGTCCTTTACTGTAAGCAAAATGTAGCTAATATAGAATGCATGAAGGAAGTGAAGTATGCTAAAACAGAGGCAGGAGCAGGAAGAGGTAGCACCAGAGTTTGACAAAACTGCATGGCATGAATCTTCTGCAGTAGGATAACCAGAGTACGACAGCATATAATCGACAAACACCATCCTCTGTAAAATTGCAGTGTGGCAGCCTTGACTGGCAATGAAATTTGTAGAATTTAATCTAATACACAATTATTTCAAAATCATGTCAGGATTCATAATATGCTCTATGCAAAAACTTGCACTATTTGGCAGCTTAACATGAGTACCGATCACCAGGTCAGTAGAACAGGAAGCAGGTCAGCTCTTCGAACCGGATTCGTGACCACCGATCAAGGTGCCTATTGTTAGGCCTACAGAATTAGCATAATCCAGAGTACGTATTATTGATAGGATCAGAGGCAGGTCAACTGCAAGGATACATGATTTGACACAATCCATGTTTTGCACCGATAACCCAAAATAAGTATATCTATCGAAATGCTCGACTCACTATATCAGAAACTGGATATTTGTATGAAGAATCGGGGATAGAAAATATCAAGCAACAAACTGAAAATGCAATATCAAATACCACCAAACCTTGAAAAGATTGATTTGCTCTCAGTTGATTCAATTGCACATTGATCCGGACACAATATATTTAAGCTATCTCCCATCTCATCCCTGTAAAAAGCAATGATGATTAGGCGAACTTTTGCAGTCTGAACTGAATAGTTCTTGCATCACAATATATTAACATAGATTCTTAACTTGGTAAAAAGGTGGGACTATATAAATGAACAAAAATTCCTTTTCCAAAGTGAATTGATCTGAAGATAATATCTTAGGATATAAATGAACAATATTACTACAGCGAAAATGAACAATGCAATATCTCATTCACCTGCTAGGTAACCAAGTATGATTAGCTAGTTGGATAAGAAATTATTTTCTTTTTCGCGATTCACCTGTAGAGAGGGATCCAAATTAAACAGACGATTGATGTATACATTGCCGAGGCGACACTTAGGATAGCACGCCATCATGGAAGGGATGATGGTAGTGAGACTATATTCCCCACTCATGGAGAAAACTATAGATCAAACCAGACATAATTACAAAAGTATTGTTGAGAAACTTTAGTCCAAACATAAATGGCAGAAGGACTACCTTAAATTTTAAGAACACTATTAATCTCACATTGTCATTATTGAAAGAAGAAAAGTGGAGACTATGACCAGCATGAGGTTCTATTGTGAATTAAGATCCTCCACATGGTGGAACATAACTGTAAAGATAAAGTGGTTTTTAGCATGAACCAACAATAGGGAATGCTAGAAGTACCATATTTGTGCATATAAAGATGCCATGTACACATATAAATAAGTATGGAAATGGAACAATAGTATGAGACAATCGAAGTCAGATTGGTACGCACCAAACTGAACCATCATTGGCCAGCGTTTTTCTGAAAAAAATGGAATTGGTTCGGCCGTTTAGACGTTGCCAACGTCGGTCTGCCTGACTGGCCTGGTAGAGAAGGGGTTATTGCTGATGCCTAGAGCAATTCTTTGGCGTGGAAATCACGCATAAGGAATGAAGACATAACCAAATCAGATCTGGGCGCAATAATGAGATCGAGATCGAGAAGAAGGCAGAGATCGGACAGACCGAGAATTCGAGATTGAAAAGGAGGGTACACGTACCTGTCGTTGTCAGGACAATGGCGAGGTATTCGAGGATGGCGGCGAGGTCTGGCGAGGTATTGGAAGACAACGGGGAGCCCATACTTGCTGACGGAGATGACGATGGCCACGGCCTCTAATCGGCGCCCGGGCCATCACCGCCCCTCTGTCATGGTCCGCTGTCGTAGCCACCGACACGGCAAGGTACCACATCCACGTGCGCCGGCGCTGGGCAAGAGGAAGAGGCAACAAAGATCTGCTGGTGGCGGCGTCTGCGCACTGGGCAGGGAGACGACAAAGCGGAGGCGGTGACGGCGAGGCACCCGGGCGTGGCATCTACGGGCGCTGCGGCCGGTGGAGAGGAAGAGGACCAAGAGATGGAGGCGGAGGCGGTGACCGGCGAGGCACTCGGGCTACGCGCGCTGTGGCCGGTGGAAAGGAAGAGGACGGACGGAGAGATGGGGGGCTCGTACGGAAGCGTAGGAGGCGGAGGGAGGGGAAGCGGATGTGCTGCTGCCTGCGGGGGCCGAAGTGGAGGCGGGGAGTGGCGGCTGCAGGTACGGTGTCGAGGGTCAGCTCCGCCTCCGGCGCAGGTTCGAGCCACGGTGCAGCAGTGGCCGCAGCCGTGGGCGTCGAGGTCGTCGTCATCGGAGGCGGACGCCGTGGGCGTCGGGGTGGTGCGGGTGGCGGCGTGGACCTTCAGGATGGGCACCGACGGCGTGGGGATGAGGGAGGGGGGCCCTGCACCGTGGTGGCCGCTGGTAGGCGGCCTGGCGTCCTTGGCCGGTGCCCTCACCTGGTGGGCGGCTCCCTCGCCTGGTGGGATGAGAGATGGGATGAGCCGTCGTCGCACGCGTGGGAGAGGAGGCGTCGGGGGAGTCGTGCGGGGTGGGAGGCGTCGGGGCTGAGCGGGAGGCGGTTCGCATGGATAGGCAGACGGACGAACCAAAACAAATGTCGCACAAAAAAATATCCACGCTTTGTTCTTTTTAGTTGTAGGAGATTTCCAAATACAAATCTAGTGTAACTACTTTTGTAATACAAACTTTTGATATAATTAGACTAATTGTTAGTCAAAGATAACAAAGTTTGAATTGTGAAATATGTGTGTGCCTTATATTCAAGCACGGAGGAAGTAAATAAGATACAATACAATGCTATCCCTTACCTAGAGTTTGCTTAATGGACCCTTAATCACAGTTTCTAAATTTAAAGGAAACAAAATAATCGGTGATATAATCCCAACTAATAAAATCCTTCTATCCCCATGTGAAACCGTGAACAGTACCCACCATGCATAGTTGCTCTGTTCGCTTAGTTGATAAGCCATGCCTGAAAGTACTTTTGGCTGATTTGTTGTGAGAGAAAAATATTGTTTGTTGGCTGAAAAAGTATTGCTTATAAGCCAAGCGAACAGGGCGAACTGTCATTATGGCTGTTGCATAGGTTTATTGGTTTAGGTGTATTTTCTGTGAATATCTTATGCAGCTTTTTTTATGAGAGCATTATGGTGTGTTCTTTCTTATCCTGCTACTGTGTTGGGGATATGCCCTGATAATTGTAGGCCATGTAACCATGGAACCTTTTTTTTAAATGTCTGCATTGGATATTTGGAGTTGACAAAGGCCATTAGGCTTTGCAGTTCAACTTGTTTGTTGGCAAACATATAGCAAAGTGCGTGTTCTGTTGTGAGAAGTACTTGACATTTTATTGACAATATTGCACACAGGGTTCTTCTTCTAATGATCAAGTTGGATCTAGCACAGAGAATAATTCTCTTGAAGCACCTGGATCTGAGCTAAAATTTGACTATGGAAAAAATGAGGAAGAAGATTACTATTTTGAAGATGAAGATGATGGGTGCTATGATGAGGATGATGAGGGATCTGACTATGAGCTTGAGACTGCTGACTATAATCAACTGCTAGCTGATAAATTTGATCATTTAGACCTGCCTCCAGGTGTGGAGGCTACAGTACCAAGGTTGCAGAAAGTTGAAAGGGATGGGCCTGGAAAATTCAAGTCAATGTCAGAAATAGAGGAGGAAATCGCAAAGAAGTATAATTTTTTCAAGCAGTTTGATACCGTTGAGGATTTCATAGATCATAAATATGCTAAAAATTCTGTCGGAAATGTAAGACCTTGGCACATATTACTTTTTTTTTAAATTTGAAATCTTTTTCATCAATAAATCTCCTAACTGTTTCAGGCAAGGAAAGAATGGGCAAAAAGAATCCAGCATGAATGGAGTCTCCTGGAGAAAGTTTTACCAGGTCAGCAATTTGCTAGAGCAATTGTGTCACCCTTGTTGTAGCAATGCATCTACCTATTCATTTTGACTATTCAGAATTTAAGCTCCATACTTCCAACTCCTGAAACTCAGTATTTCACTTTAACAAAAAAAAAAAACTGCAGATTAAGTTCAAAATATAGTATTCCATCTGAATAATCTCTCTGAATTCATAACCTGAATTTTGTTCTGTTGTGCAGCATTAATATATGTTCGTGCCTCGGAAAATCGAATGGACCTTCTCAGGGCTGTAATGATTGGGCCTCAAGGAACTCCCTACCATGATGGCCTTTTCTTCTTTGATGCCCACTTTCCCCCTTCTTATCCTGCTATTCCCCCAGTTAGTATTCAATTTTTGTCCATTTGGTATGTAATACACTTCCATATTTGGATAAAAAAAATTGTGCTGATGCTTTTGCAGGTGGTACATTATCATGCAGGTGGGCTTGGGCTTAATCCAAATCTATATGCTTCTGGAAAAGTCTGTCTTAGCCTCCTAGGCACCTGGCATGGTCAATCTTGTGAGAAATGGAACCCAGCACAATCAACAATGCTTCAGGTGCTAATCTCCATTCAAGCTCTTGTATTGAATGAGAAGCCATTCTATAATGAGCCTGGATATGAACGCTATGCCAATAGTGCTGAGGGACTGGCAAATGCCTTGGACTACAATGATACAGCATTTCAGTACTCATGCAGGACGATGTTATACTCACTTCGTAAACCTCCACAGGTAATATTTTGCTAATTCTTAAGCTCTTAAACTAAAATTGAGTAGTTAATAGTATATATATTTGATAGTCATCTATTGATAGCTGTGCTGATGTTGTAGTATCTATCATTGTGCTTTTGTAAAATAGAAATGTGGACGCAGTCCAAGCAGGATTCCAATATCTGTGGTTAAGTTACTTTTCACTTGTCGACATTTTTTACTGATTTAGACACCCAAATTTGAGCTGAAATCTGATACTTGTATCTCTGTCCATGTACTATCAGGTACTAGGCTAGACAATTGTTTTCAGTTGATGCAGTGATGTGCTTTTTCATTCTTTCAGTTATCAGCACAGTGTTCTCTTTCTTAGCACCTATGCTCATGTCCAGTATTTTTGATAAATAAGGCACCCAAGTTCAAGTTAGATATTCTTACACCTTTGTCATCCAAATTAGCATTGGATAGCAGGCTAACAATTGTTTTTGGTTGGTGTTAACATGCATTTTCATTCTCAGTTATCAGTACATTGCTCTTTTTTCAGCAACTGATGCGGGACAAAGAAACTTAGGTTTCATAGATCTAATGGTATTTGTGCCTGTTGATCTGTTGTTTCAGCACTTTGAAGACCTTGTCGCGGGCCACTTCCGTGAACGCGGGCATGCCATTTTGGCTGCATGCAAATACTACATGGAGGGCCATGAAGTTGGATCCAAAGTCCTGGAGGAGGACGAGGACACCAAAGGGTGTCAAAACGGGGAAGGATCCAGCAGTAGCACCACGGCAAAGCCGCAGCAAAATAAGCCTGCATTGCGCACCAATCGCAATGCATCCTTCAAAACCAACCTGGAGGTTCTGTTTGAGGAGCTCTTGATGGAGTTCAATGTGAAGGGTGCCAACACTGCAAGATTCCGTGCGGAGAAATTGAAGAACAAGCTGGCGGCTGCTTGAACTGAATGGCCCTGGCAGTGGAATTCTGTTAACTTTTGAGGTTTCCATAATGGATTGGGAAAACCTAAGGGGATGTTTTTTCGCTTTTGGCTGACCATAGGAATGCAATGTAGATAGCTCTCTTTTCTTTCAGTTAGTGGTACATGTCCTGTGTGAAGTTAAACCGAAAACAGTGGACGGTCTTAGATCCTAGTAATTGAAGCATCCACCCCAAATTGTGTTGTGATCTGAAATTGGCATCTATATAAATCGTCTTCCGTTATTTGCCTTTGAAAGGGATCCATGGCACCAGGTTTCATAATCAACCAGCCATGGAAGCTATGGCATGGAGCAGTGGTTTGTTGATTCTGGCTACTTTGTACTGGTAGAAGTTACCTAGTGCAGGCGCATAGCGTGCATTTGTTGTGTAAAAATCTACGCGCCCTTCGAATTTTCTCAATCTCCGTCTCTGAGCGTAGGGTGCATTTGTGCTATATTGTTTTTTTTTTGTTTTTTTTTTTGGTGTAGAGCAACCAAATGTTCGGTGCTTTGTCCATAGGATTTGACATGGGTAAGCCCCGAGTGACACTGATTGTCCGTCTGCTCAAATAGACAAAGTGCTAACCAAAATTACAAGATGTCTTTTCAATAATAATAATTTGCGCTCCATCGTTTCCTCGAAATGTTGAAAAAAAAGTAAAACTACTAATTGCCAATGGGTGGTTTTCGACATTAATTAAGATGCCATGTAGATAAATGCTCACATGGCATTGAAGTTAATGAGGAGAGATATAAGGAAATAGATTCTTAGAGCATTTCTACTGCGGAATTACACCCCCACTATTGGAGGAGTTGAGACAATTTCCTTGCCCTAACATTCTTTCAATAGTCGTCCTTTTCTTTAGTGGCCACTAAAAATACCTAATATCCCTCAAATAAAGAGAGATTTGTATCTCCTCCAATAGTCTAGGGCCCACAGTAGTTGTTACTTTTTCTCCATCGACCACGCTTGTTGTTCACCGTCGTGCCATGGGAGCGCTACCTGCATCCACTGCTCGCCACTGCGGACATAGGAGCATTGCCATCTATACATCCGTCATTCGCCGTCGCGGATGTGGGAGCATCGCCACCCGCGTGAGCACAGTGACCCCAAGCTAGGTGGTGGCAGATCAGGATCCATGTGCCGGCACTACAAGGACACTCCGCAATCCGCTCGGCTGCTCCTCGTCTTTAACTTCGTCCTCATGGTCGTCGGCTCAGTGGGCGGCTAGATGTTTACTGCGCCTACTTTCTCCACAGTGGCGGGCGGAAGTGGTCTTCAACCTTCCTCTAGACCACTGGCTTCCTGCTCCTAAAGCGACCGTCTTTCCATTCTTCCTCGTGATGCCCCATTTCCTAGCGGCGTTTGCGAACCGGCCTTAATGAGCTCCTCTATGCCTACGACCTGGCCTACCTGCCGTTCTCCACATCATCCATCCTCATCTCCACGTTTCATGGAGCTCGGTGATGGGCCGACAATGATGATAACGGGGTGGAGGTCGGGGCTGGTACGACGGGGTGAAGTTCACGGATTGAGGTCTGGGGTAAAGGCTGATGTGGCTAGGTAGGTCTGGGCCGATGCTACCCGAGCATGCACGTGGGGGAGGATGAGCCAAAGGAAGAGGAGTGAATAGGAAAAAAAAAAATAAATAAATTGTAATATGACAGGTGAGCCCTACCCATTGGGAAAAATTATTATCGGTGATCTGCTACAGCATCTCCCTAATAATCCAAAAACTGATATTGAGCACCTAGTTTTACCTTATTGGGGGAGTTGTAGGAGCTACTGGAGATGCTTTTATACACCAAACCGTGTTTATATGGGAACCAAGATAGAAAGAACTATGATAGCTGAATGATAAAAGAGAGAAGCTAGATGGTTGGATGAAAATTTTATTTGTAGAAATAAATAGTTTATATGGGTAGTGCCTACTGTATATATTAATTGGCAAATATAAAAACTATCTCATAGTTTCATGGTTGAGACTGTTTGTACCGTATTATTTGCACTATGTGATTTCAAAAGTCTATTAAAATTTATTTGATGTATTCAATCCATTTAAAAACATCTAGCAGTTTTAAGTTTTTATATTGAGTTAAACATTTAATTATTTAGTTAAGATCATAGAAAAATATATTAACATTTACTGTGGATTTAGTGAAACTGGTTTTATCTAAATTTGGAACGAGCAAAGTATATGATAGCCCCTAAATTATACACAGTGAACTGTTGGTCCTAATGGACCGAGAATCACCTACTTCTCTCCCAAGTCCCAAAAGAATAGAGACAACACTTCATTTAAAAGTAATGAAAAAATTCTGAAATGGTATTAAAGTTAGTTAATGACACCCTCTCCGGTCACAAATAACTAGTATGGAACCTATATAAAACTAGAAGCATATCTCGCCTGTTGCAACGGGGATTGCGAATGAATTTTAGTGGATAATAGGTATGCTGACGTGGACAAATAAATGCATGTTAGTCGATAACATGGCATGATATGCTGAAGTTGATATTTGGCATGAATAGATAGGTGCCATAAGTACATGCGCTACTGGTTTGCTGATGTGTATGGTTATATGTGGAGATACAACTCTACTAAGGTTTAGGATTATAAGATATATAAATACGGATATAGATAGATAAAATATAATAAATATTGTACAAATCTGAAACAACTTTTAAAGACAAATCTAGTCATACATTTCTGTATAAAATATTTTAAGAGATATTGATATTTTAACTTTAATGCTACGCTAATCTAAAACAAAAAACACTATCTATAGGAAAATACAGTTATCGATGGCCTAATGCAACGCTACTCGCTATATTTTTATATATTATAATATAGTCATATAAAACATAAATATATGAAATTATATAGTGTTTCGCAATCAAATATACATCATAATTTTTGTATTTTTTAGCTAAATATTTTAAATAAACATTTAAAAGTTTGACTAAATTAGACTGAAGCTTAAGCACACTTGACCATGCTGGAAATTCAAAAATTGTGAAAACGTAAGGTATCAAGGGTTTTATTCGCTACAAAATAAAGGATGTTATTAGCAAAGTAATATTGGATTTGGTACATGTCAACCAATATGGCATTATCAAAATTTGTACAACTAGATTTTGAGAAAGCATTGGATAAAATTGAACATGAAGCTACGCTCTACATAATGCAACATGATATTTTTTAGAGCTTTTTGCTATTTTTAGCTAGAGACATCAGCAATCCTTCTCAAAGGTGCACTAGGCAAGACTTTACATTGGAGGAGAGGAGTAAGGTAAGGGGCCCCTCTCGCCCATTCTGTTGTGTTAGCTATTGATTCACTAGTCTTTGCTAATAAAGTCAATGATTAGTGTTTTACGAGACTACCCATTACTCTTGAATCTACATCTAACTTTATCAAATTTGCAGTATGCCTATGATACTTTGATCACTATGGAAGGTTGTGGTCCTTAGTTGTTCTTCCTCAAAGCTCTATTGTTATAGAACTGTCTAATTAACCTGTTTTAAATGCATTTGTCACTGTTATAACAATAAGCACACTTCAAACAAGCTTAATCCAGTAGTTTGTCGGGAGTCCTCGGAGGATACCCGATATCATGGTTTATTGATAACCCAATCGAACCACAATTTCAAATGACATTAGTTCAAATAACATAGAGACAATACTGCATAAGGTCCCATTGAAGTTTGCAAAACATAATTAAATAGCAAATCCATGTCGTGCCCACCGACAATGAACCTTCAACTTCCCCCAACTTAATTTTCATAGTTTAAGCATCAAGTATTATGTTTGCAGGACTAACAACTACAAACACACACTTGATTAACAATCAAATAGTACAAGTACCATCATAAGCAACATCCATGTTCCATAATATTACTATGATGATGGTCAGGATGATGCGGTACTCATATCCAAGAGGTGTGATGATTTGAATCAATTTACATCCACCTGAGTAAACCTAATCATTCGAACATGCATGTCTGAGGTCACACGTGGCAACCTTTCGCTAATTTACTACGAGGATCCTCCAATTGACCAGACTAAATTAAGTTGTCATCTTTTGATCAACATTCGATTTGACATGATTAGTCCGGCCGTCCCTAGAATTACACCATCGTGCATCTTTGAGGATCCATTGCAAAGATAGGCATGCATAGCTCAAACAAATTGTAGTTGACATGAAAGGTAGTTAAGTTAACATCACACGTATTTTTTTTAAAGTTAACATCACACGTTATACACTATCATTAAGATCACAACCACATAGTATTACGGTAGAAGTCTAACAACGAGAGTTTAATTGACAAGATACATCACATGGAACATGCCATATCCATAGGTTACGCTTCTCATACAAGTCATAACTCTCATGCAGTTCTACGCGCCAAGATAAGTATTTAGATGACTCCTTTTAATTTTGTGCACAAAAACATACCCTTGCTAACGTTCAATACAAATCCATCGATACAAGTTTCATGTTCTAAACTTATATATAATTTCAATAATTGCTAGTCAAATTTATATAAGTGACTTTCCTTATTTGAAATATGATATCATTCAAATATATTTTTGCATCTTTAGAAAGACCATTAAAAAAAAGGATTTGCTAAATTTCAGATGCCTAAATTTTAGTTTTCTTTCGAGCGACGGGTATTGCATATATTTTAGATTCAAATTGCAGTTTTAGTTCATAACAATTTCTGTAGACACAATCTGTAATTTTTGGTTCAGAGAATAAAAAACTCGTTAGACAAAACCACAAACTTGATAAAATCTGATATTTGTTGGCAAAAAAAAATTAAACAATTTACATTTATTTATGTAGTCAAACAAAGATAAAAATTTGATATGTTATAAGACAAAAACAAATAAAAAATCACAAAAGTGATAATTTATTTGTACTAATTGGTAGTACAAATATGTTGCCTGAAATCATATTAAAACTCAGACACCTAAAATATAGGAGAAGTGTTAAACAAAAAACTAGGAAACATTAGGAAGACTATTGTGAAAAGAAACTAGAAAACACATGTTAAATCCTAGAACCCAGCATATCGTCGTTCACTTTTCCGTTTTCCGGTATTCCCAATCCCACCCAAGCCTGATAAATAAAATAAAATAAAAAATCCCACCCAAGCCGCCATCTTCCCATCTACATCTACCCTTTCCCTGCTGCCGCCGCCGCGACCTCCTCTCCTCTGCTCTTCACTCCCCTACCGTGATGTTATCGTCCCTCTTGTCGCCACCCTGCCGCTCCATAAAGCTCCGCGGCCGCAAGATGTGGCCTCACCATTTCCACTACGGCGTAGCCCTCCTCCCTACCTGCTCGCGCTAACAACTAGCCGCCGGCCCCCTTTCTTCTTTTCGCCGAACACTTGGTGTGCTCCTCCTTCCCTTTCTTCTTTGCTCGATAAATCCATCTAGATGATCAACACCTCCTTGGGAACGGCCGCGCGCGCCGGCGGCGGGGGAGGCCCCTGTTTCAAGCTGTTGGCGTCGCTCAACCACCGCTTGGCGACAGGTTGCGCATCCGACGCTGTGGATGCAAGAAATCACGAAAAGCCCAGGAATTCCGAGCGTATGGCTGCTTCGTGCCAAGAACCCAAAGTGGTTGTCGTGGCCGCCCTAGCATGTCCTCCTCCTCCTCTGAGGGATCAAGAACCGGTGAATAACAAACGTGGGTGCGACTTCAATGGCGAGATGATCTGGGCTTCCAAGAAGCAACGCTCGTCCATCGCTGCAGTTCGTGAGCATGGCAATGCGATTGCTGAGGTGAAGAGGGCTGCGGCTGCTGCCACGTCGCCCCCAATTGCACAGGCGAAGAGGGCTGCCGCTGCTGCAACTGCTGCCACGTCGTCCCCGATTGTGCAAGAACAGAAAGGCCACGCTCCGTGGGGGTGCATTGGTGTGGCCCTGGATGAGAAGAAAGAAGAAAAGCTCCGGCATTGCATGTTCGCGGCCCCTGTTTGTGGTTTGGATGGTCTGCACGGAGATTGGGAGGTTACTGCCCCGAACATTGCATTGCGGTCTTGCCGACATGTGGATCGTGATCAGCGCCGTAGTGCTGAGGACGAATGCTGGCTGATCAAGAGGAGCCGCCCTTGCCCTTCCACCATGGCTGTTTGTGAGGGCAGCAACAGAATAATGCCATCAGCTCAGTCGACAGAAATCCAGGAACCGACAAGTAGGAGCAACCCTGTGCAAGAAGCAAAGGCTGCTGGTGAGCATGGTCGCGAGACTGCCAATTCTTCTGGTCGTTCTAATACTCCAATGCGACCTTTCATGAGCTTGAGCCACGGCCTTCAATTCTTGGGCGTGACCGATGTGACACCAATTCTTGCCAGGACGCTAACTGCCACAGATTGCCGCTTGGACCAGTCCCGCATGCAATTCTCACCTCGGGAGGTCATTGATTCACCGTTGTTCAGCATTCTTACAACAGATGAGCATAGATTTGTGCATCAATGGGACGGTCAGAAGGGACTAGAGTTGGAGGCCATTGATCGACATGGTTATTCCTACAACATGAGGTTCAAGTATGTCTATAGTGCCAGGCAATACCGCCTTATGCAAGCATGGGTACCTTTCTTGAGACAGAATGGCGTGCGCCAGGGGGATCTGGTCGAGGTTGGGGCTTTCCGTGTTGATGGGAAGCCCGTGCTAACGTTGTTGAACTATGCAACAGAGGGGTGGATTCCTGAAGAGATAGAGGCAGCAAAAGGCTTGTTGATGCTGTCAGATTGCAACAATGGAACAAAGTCTTAGAAATTATGTCCAGGAAATTGCATCACAGATGATGTAGTTAAGTAGGTACATTTATATCTAGGATACTTAGGTGATAAACTTTTCTAGTTCTCTGCTCATTTTAGGCTGCTTGGTGCCCTTGATTACTGGTTTGTGTGCTAGGTTGCTGTCATGCTGCAGGAGTTTGTTATCTCTTAGTTGTGATTCTTTGTAGGATTTACTATCAACATACTTCAAGATGCTAGTATACACAATAGCTTGTTCAATTCTGTAGCCTTGAGTGCATTGTAAGTATATTTTTTCTTATATAATCATAGGAAAACAAAAAAGGCAGAATTTACCTTGTGATTATGATACTGAAAATAGTTCTTGCTACTTATTCTCCTTGTCATTTTCGGCACGTGACACAAGTTATGCTTCAATATGATGTGCACTGATATGGGTTGCTTATTACTTTTGGGGCTCCCATTCTGATTCTGGCTGGAATTCTGTCGCATTGTCAGGTAGTTCTTTAATTATTGTTGTGTCCACTAATTATAATGATATGCACATCAATGTTTATATCAAGGTTTAATAGTATCTTGAAGATGTTTTTCATTTCTTTTCTAGCATGTATTGGTACTACCCTTGGCAACATTTAGTGCATACTTGTTGCATATCTGTAGTTAACTTCCTCTGTAATTGCATTTAGTCAGGAAGCTAAGCAGTGTGCTCTGGTATTATACTTCACCACAATTCTACTATTAAGAGAAATGTAGGAAGAGGATAAACCTTTGGAATTGAATTCTTTCCATATAAAGATTAGTATATGAGGCTAGCATTAGCTAATATCTTTGTTGTATAGTTTGATGAAACAGCTAAAAGGAACTCTGAACTGTAACTTTGGTTGAGAATATTTCTGTGGTGTTCCTAACCCGGTAATTTTGACTTATTAGAAAATCTGTACATGTATTTCTGTGGTTTAGCATTTGCATTATCTACCTTGTTTCTACAAGCCCTAAAATTTTAATTGCTGGTTAAATCATGGAGTCTTAGTTTGCTTGTAATATTGTGAACAATAAAAAAGATTGCTTCTGCTATTATCTGTTGGAACTTCACCACATCATATAATAGGTCTGTACCAAATCGCGAATATGGATAGCATATTGAGATAAACCAGAGTTGCTGCAGTCTGCACCAAATCGCGAATATGGGATAAGTTGCATGACTTTTAGATAGAACTGTCCTTTTTATACCTTTTTGGTGCTTCGGAGTTATAAATTATAATAATGTACTACAAAACCGCCCATGAATTATCCTCTATGATCTGAAAAGTTTTTCCTCTAAGCACAATGTTATCAAGAACGACTCATTTACTCCTTCCTAAATATCTACTGTTTTGAGGATCTTTACCTTGGTTCTTCTGTTGATTCATTTGTCATCGCCATGTATTGTATAGTTGCATATATTTGTATAGTAAGTATGGATTTCAAAGGTAAAGATGCCAAGTAGATAGACATAAGTACGTCTGAAACCTGAAGAGAACGAAGGCTCAAGATTACAAGTTGGGAATGGAGTAGGGAAGAAATGGGTAAGACTAAGAGGAGATTCAACTTTAGATATCTCTTTGAGCTGCTCCAGCTGCTAGGAAAGGCAGGAAAGGCGTCGATAAGCCTTTTAGCTAGCCTGGCTGTTTCTATGACCTTTTTATTTCTCAATCATGCTGATGCACTCATGATGTTCTGATTTCAAGTGCAGATTCCTCGTTGGATCATAATTCAGGCTTAGCTGAAGCTGATCTGTTGAAGTAGCACCATGCTCTAGCAGAGCAATTTGCACTGCTGTTTGCCTTGCGTGCCTATATGCGCAGAGATTTCATCAGTTCTGTCTGCAGTTAACTCGGAGGTACATCGCCTTGGTTGAAGACTAATTAATCAGAAATGTCAAATGTTGTTAGTAGATTGAGGTGATAATGCTAATGACTCATTGAACTTTGTTTTTCTCTGTTTCTCGGAACATGAAAAGATGACAGAAACAACCCTTATATATTGTATTTATTTTTGGTAAAATTTTGCTACCACTTGTTTCCTCTTGCTACAAATTTAAGTCAGAGTAGCTCTGCTACGAAGTCTCTTGACTTGCAGGAGGGAGGACAGGCTGTTGTGATAAATTTTCAAAAGGTTGGTGCTCTCAGACAGTGTCCGCATCCTATATTGATATACCAGTCACTGACCGAGATAGATCCCCTTAAATGTTGAGATGACTCCAACACAACTGACCCTTTATATATAATTTTTTTTTACATTTTTATATTGCCCTGTCCTTAACACTTCATATATTAGAGCGTTTTCGTTATTCTATACCCAACGGGTTCAGATGTCGCATAAGAACAGTGTTATTTTAATTTGCAGCATAAACTCAACTTGCAGCTGATGTGTTTGTATCATAACTCTTCAGGGTGGGTTATCTTTGATTTCGGCGCTGAAATCAGATGTCCATCACGAATGTTTCCGCTTGTTTCTTTTCCCTCCCGAACAATTTGGGAAAGGCTTAAAAATGGGCACAGTTTACAAAAGTTGTCAACCATACCTGAGAGAGATTACAAGGTGAAGGCCAGAAAAAAAAATACAAATGAGGTTGGCAGTTTCTCATGTGCTCTATCCAAGCATCCAGGGAAATGGAAATGGAGTCGTCCATCCAGTAGCTTCCAATTTCGAATCGCACGGAGAAACGGGTTTTTTTTTTGCGTTGGAGGCGGAGTGTCATTTTTTTTCTGGCTCAATCGAACATCACCGCCCGTGCACACTGCTTGCCGTGGATTGCTCTGCTCGTCGTACGTCGTCGCGGATGCACGACCTGGCGCCCCACCCATTTGCGGCGCCGTTGCCCACAGCCCACGCCATGAAGATGAAGGTCGCCACTGCTCGTGCTCGCCGGTGCTGAAGCACGCAGTTGCCCGCGGGAGGCCGCCATAGCGCTCGCTGGTGCCATATCTGGGCCACGCTGTGGACTCCGCCGGCGCGCTCGCCATGGTTGCCGTCTGCCTGGACCTCCGATCGCTCTACTCACGAGGCCAATCTCGGGAGCTCGCCGCAAGATCTATGAAAATCACGAGACGGTTTCTGAGCTGAGCTTACATAAGTAGATGCATACAAGAAAGTTGATAGGATCCGAGCGCATATTTAAGCAAGTTGATAGGATCTAAGCGCATATTTAAGTCGTTTTGTATATACCTGAATAATCTGAGATAGTTGAAACTTTGTCATTATCAAACTTTGGCTTCGCTCGTCTGCCGTTCTGCAAAAGAGATACGCCGGAACGTAATTATCAAACTGGACACATAATTCATTTTCCTCCTTTCTATCCAATTTTATCATTTTTTATTCCACCTAATCTTTTATTCTCGTTTTACCCCTGCTTTCAAAAACGTTATCCCTTCGTTCTACCATCCGCACACACACACACATCTCCCGCCGCCGGCCACGCGTGGCTCCCCGAGACCGCTTTAGCCCCGATGCCGGAGCTTCACCGCCGGCCGCTGCCCATGGAATCTCAGCGGAGCCCGTTGCCCTCTACCAGAGCTCGTGCGGACCTCGCCGCCGGCCACGACTTCCATCCGTGCCCGATGATTCCAGACCACGCGAGCACCCCGACCCACCTGTGGCCGCGCGGGTTGTCGCCGACACTGGCAGCGCGGGCGCCGCTGCGAGCACCCCTCCACACCCCGCGGACGTGTGGGTCGTCCCCGACGTTGGCAGCACGAGTGCCCCTCCCCACCCTACTCCCGCGGTCGCACGGGCCGTCCCGCACGCATGACCGCACCCTGCTCGCGGCATCAGCGTCGAGGTCGGGCGGGCACTGGTGGGGTCGCGCCAAACCTCTAGTGCGCCGTGAGGCTGGCGAGCGTGGTGCGGTCGCGGCACTAGACGACAAGCGAGGACACGGTGGGGAAGCAGTAGATGAGTCGCGTCGCGATTAAGGTGTTCTCCTCCACGACCTACTCCTCCATCAAGAGCGCGGCGCACATAGCCCGCTCCACCGTGAGGAGCCGGTGTCTAGGGGCGACAACACGGCACGGTGGGTGTTCGGGTGTGTGCGTGGTAGGAAGACGAACATGATGAAAGGGATAAGGTTGAGTTTAGGGGCAGGGGTAATTTGGGAATGAAAGATTGGTTGGAATAAAAATAATGATTAAATTGGAGAGAAATCACCATAATGGCATTTCAGCGGGTGCACCCAGTTTGATAATGGCAATCCGACGAATCTCTTTTGCATAATGGCAAACGTGCGAAGCCCTGATGGCAAAATTCCAATTTTCTCTAGTGTAGAGGGGTAATCGAATTTGGATACAAAGGGTGATGAAACAAGCTCAAGATAAAGATAACTCAAGAGATAACTAGTGTCACGGGGTCAAAACCGCGGCAAACATTGTTGTTCGTGGTAGTGTTAGAGTGCGTGTCTCCAGTGGCTCGGGTAGACTCAAGAACACAAGAATCACAGAGGGGATGCAACGGTTTATCCTGGTTCGGGCCGATCGGTGCCCTACGTCCAGCAGCTGATGATCCTTATACTCAAGAGCATCCAAATTCTAGGGGGTTACAACAGAGTGTAAGAGAGAAAGAGAGAGATTTGGTAGGGGATCACTTGGTGCTAATCCTAGGTTTGCCTCGCCACTAGTGGAGCCTTCCCCTTGTTGGAGAGGAGGAAGACGACGGGTGCGGTGGAGGAGCTCTCGGTGCCCATCTCTGGGTTGCTCTGATCCCGGCACAGAGCGTGAGCGGAATCATGAGGACTCGAATGATCTATCTAGAATCGTCCTCCCCCTTATATATTGAGGTAGGTCGGGTACATGGTGGTTTGGGGAGTTGTGCCTATGGTCTATATGCACCGGAGTCCAGGAGGGTCTTGCCATAGCGCCGTGTGGATCGTGGCGATGTTGTGGAGCCAAATAAGCTCTAGGCGTCATCCGGCTGCTCTATTCTGACACCTTGAGTGTCAGGCTCTATCGGCTTGGACCAGCCTCCACCAGGTGCACCTTCTGG